CCATCCAGGCTTGATGATCCTTGTTCTAAGCAGTTTCACTGAGGGATCTTTTACTTAGTGGGGACTTGTTCTTCGAGAGTTTGGCTTTAACTACACTTCCAGTAAATGTGGAGTTTCTGAGCTGAAGTGTCTTTGTGTTTCACTCCATTTCCAATTGGATTCTTTTTGTATTTCTTTCAGTGCTGTGTTTACTGAGGCCTTTTATGGAGATGCAATTACGAAGAAGCATAGGTTAGAAATGATTGATTCTTTTAAAGACATCAGAAATTTTTATGCCAGCTGCCCAAGGATGTATGTTGATTGATATCGTGAATATATCTTCTCATGTGTTCAAGGTACAGTCCATCATTTGATCCTTTGTGCATCGTGTCCCTTTGAGGCAACAAAATTACTGAACATCTCAATAAGGTTGTCTAAGAACAAACCTGATGAAGTTTCAGCTCGGTGAATACTGTACATGTATGTATATTTCTGAGAAAAAATAATATTCTAGGATTTGGATTTCAGATCAAAAATTGCTTAGTCATGTTTGAATTAGGCTGGAATTTGATCCTGAGGGACACGTTCTCACATTCACTTCACTCAAATGCAGTTAGGTGCAATATCACACACTGAACCAACGCATCGTTGTAACTGACATGCATGTTTGTCGTCTAAAGGTCTGTGCATTTCCAGTGACATTTTCCCAAAATGTGTCCTCAGATACATTGTCTGAAATCGCCTTCTTCCTTTATTTTCTTCAAAATGACAACTCGCCAGAAAGAATAAATTCACAGGGAGTTTAGTTAAGTAAATTTGAAAATATGCTTTCAACTAAATTGGCAGGGTTGTTTGAATTAAAGCATTGATTTAAACCGTGATTCAAATGACTCAAAAAGTGTTAAAAATCATTCAAAATATTACACCACATGTTTCAGAAATACTTGGGAAACCTTTTTTGTTTGATTTTTGAATGTGGAGTTGGCTGAATTTTAGCATTCTGATTTTTTTTAAAAAACTCAATCAGAATTATGCTCATAGTGTAATTATGCGCATAATTAATTATTTTCTATTATTTGCCCACTGGGCTTTATTCACAAGATGGCCATTTTGGATTGTATTACGTGAATCCACTCCATTTATCTTCCAATCTAAAATCAGAAGGAGCCTGACTATTCCGCTTCAGTTGCAGCATGTAAATCGATTCATTTTCCTTTTTTTCATTTAGAAAATCAGTGACTTATCTTTGATTTATTGAGGCCAATTGAGATGAAATTGTCATTGTTCATGCATGATATAACATATAAATGATATGATTTGCATAAGAATGGACATTGATTGATGCTACAGTATCTCCCAGGGTTCTCAGAGTTTATTCATGTAGGTTCTTCAGCCTTCAAATAAGACAGTTGAAAAGTCAACACAAATGAACTTAAAGTAACCCGAAGCTTTGCATTGAAACTTGAAAAGATGAATGGCCAAGAGCAAGATTGGATATGGCTGTATTTTGACAGAAAGGAAAGAACGTTAGTTAAAGGACTATGAAAACCAAGAAATCAGAGACTAAAAAGCGCTTTGCAGAATGCCAGATGATAAACTTCCATGCAGCTTCCGTAACAGCCCTTTTCTGTACGGCGGTCCATGGAGTGTTTGTGAATAATTTAACGTTTACTTCACGAACAAAATTGCTTTGGACACTTCCAACATACGAGTTACAAGAAATGTTAAAAATCTGTTTTACATTAAAATCCAAAGTTTGTTTAAGAGGATGATTTTAATAACCCTGCAAATTGGGTTGTTATCCATAGTTCCGTGAATCTTGCTCATTTTTCATGATGCCATAAAGAGCCTTTTTTCTCATCTATGCAGGCAAAAGAACATCAGTGAACCAAGCTGGGTGAAGTGGTTGGTTCCTGTCTACCGTGGTCCTTGGAGGGGTTCACCTCACAGACTTGGCCAGTACAAATAGGGTGCTCCTAATTTCAATTATTACATTTGCCAAAAAAGTGTCCATCATTGTCTTGACACAGTAAACAGAGTTTCCGGCTTGCAAATAATCACATTTTAAAGCTTAGCTGCAATTTCATTTTTTAAGAATTTTTCTGGAATTTTGTACGCTTGTTCTTTGTGTAAAAACTCTTTTACATTTCTTTTTGGTTACATTGAAAATTGCACTTTTTAGCATTTAAAACTATCCAAGCTTTCCTGGACAACTGAGGGCGCTATTGTTGTGAAGTCCTGGGAAGGCATATTTCAGCGCATGGGTTTTTAATATTTCTGATAAAGGGATTAATGCTTGCTTATTGCTATGAACAAAAAACAACAATGAATCAATAAAGAGGAGAAATTTAAAGTCCAGCAAAATCTACAAAATGAAAGACTTCTTTTGAGTACAAACCATGTAACATCAGGGTTTTCCTTCTGGGATGACATCACACTTTTACTATGAATATGGAAATGTCATTAGCATAAAAACCTTAAAGAAAGTAAATTACCCTTTGAAATACTGAAAGAAAGACCAGAAACCAGAGGAAAAAACTAAGGAAAAAAAGGATGCATCTTGAAGGTTTCTATTCAAACAAATTGATTGCAGCTTCCCTTCAAGTTGGTTTCCAATAGTTTACAAAATAATCAATATTTTGCATTCTGTGCATTAGATTAATTTGTGCAGTCAACGCTGTACCTTCAAAATCTGTCAAATTGTTGGTGAGCTGCAAAAAGTCATAATTATGGCTTAAGCCCCTGCATCAAAATGTAGATATACAATAGACCTCTTAAAATCTTGAAGCTTGAAAAAAGCTTGGTATTTCTCGAAATTTCTATTTTTGTTTTCCGGATTGTGGATTTTTTTTCAAAACGCAATAGCAGGCATTGTAAATTCCTCATATTCCAAGTTAAAAGTAAGGGAACTTGAACAAGAGGCTTGTTTCTACCAAATTTTCTCAGAGATGCGTCTGATTGAAAGAAATTTCCAAGCACGCAGGATCTTTCTCAAAGTGATGTTAGTGATGCCAGTTGACATTTTGTATAGATACACGTACATAATATTCAAAATAAATATTTTGAAGAAGTTGGTATAGAAGTGCTTCCCTACTTGACTGATGCACAAATTTACATTAAACTGAATACATCAGAGTTGGTATTTATCAATCAATTTCAACCCTCATTGGTGTGCTGTTGCTTCTGTGTTGCATATTCAAATTTTATTCAAATGT